AAACACAAAAAAAAATTTTTAGATTGTCTAAAAACTCAAGAAATGCAAAATGAATTGATGAAACACGCATTTCCAGGAGCCTGTGACCACTACGAGCGTTCATGGTTCTGTTTAGGGTTTGATTTTCAGCAAAAAAGGTGAGAGTGACTGTTTGTTAATGCTAGCTGGCTTGTGAGTGCACACAAATCATCCCACCAGTAATTCCAACCATGTCAGCTCTTTCTCGTCAGATTGTGTCTAACTTGAGTATCTTACAGAGTAGTGCTTTCAGTTAGCTTCACACCTCTAGGAATGTCGATGACATCAGCTGCACAGTATCAGTACAGGAAATAACAATGTGTGTCTCAGTGATGTGTTAGAAATATGTACCCAGAGTCTGCACTGGTATAACACATGTTTATACTAATGATACCAGAGAGCACAAGGACTGCATCTGCTAGTACTCAGAGATGAAGCTCTTTTTAACAAGTTCAAAACAATTTTAGCCATTTTTCAACAAAACATTTTAAGACGTATTCTCTGTATTACTTTTAATTTGTATAGTTTTCCATTTTGTTTCTTTGCTCACTGATGTGTGTTAAAGTGTTAAATCTCTGGGGAAGCGAACTCCAGAGCCATCTCCGTCACTTCGAAGGAAAAAAATTGAAACGCCCAAGTTCAAAGAGCTGAAACAGTAAGCGCTACCTGAGCCTGACAGACGAAGATCAGGGAAATCATCTAGCTGTGATTCAAACTAATGCTTTCATGTGTGCTGCCTGAGCCTAAAGACTAAAATCTGGGAAAATAATCACACACATAATTACTAGATTGATTCTTAGGTGTTAGCTGTTGCCTGAGCCTGGAGACAAGAATCTAGGAATAATCAGGGAATGTAATTATTTTTTTGTGTTGTGATGTGTGCTGCCTGAGATTAAATAATGAGATTACTGGCTGTAATTCTCACTAACGTGCTTTTACAGTGTGTGGTTTGAACCCTGTTGAACTCTGCATGTTGCTATTACTCGATCACTATGCTAGCCACTACTGTCCGAAGTTAGATCAAATCGAATGCTTCTTTACATACAAATGAATGAAGCCAATCCTCATATTAAAGTATATAAAATGTTTATTTCAAGGACAAATTAGAAACATTAAAATGATGTTGTAAAGCCTCCTATTGCAAAATGTTTAAAGAAGACATATTGTTCTTGCTTCTACAATATAGTTATAATCTATCACAATATATCAAATCACAATTTATATCTAAAACAACTTAATTAAGGAAACACGTCCACTAACTTCCATGTTAGAAAATTTCAGTGCCCAACAACAAAGTGCTGCATACTCTTGGCCTCTCTAACGGATAGCAGCACATCACAGTAGGGAGCAGCGTATTTGATTTCTTTTGTACTAAAATACTGAATCCTATGTGTATCACCGATTAAGAAAAGTAAAGTGGGCATGTACTGGTGACGGTAAAAGCAGGGGTTGGCAAGAGTTCGTCTTGAAAATAAGTAATTGCTCAAACATGCACAAATCACTCCAAATACAACTTTGAGTGGGTAAATGGTGATTGGAAAAAAACTAAAACATGGTTAAAAACTCTGAAAAGTAAAATTTGCTGAATAGGCCTGCAATAGGTATGCAACTGATCCCACTGCAAAATACAATTTAAAACAGTTACAATTTTGAGCAGCAAATCCAATATAATATTACAGGTTCATTATTTTTTTGTTTTAATAATGCCACCATTTAGTACTATGGTGAAAAGAATTTGCCCCAAGTTAATTTATACTGAGTTTTGAGTTTGTGTAGTTTGTGCACAGTTTTTATTTCATGTGGATAGGTCCAGTAATTATAGAGATATGAACCATAAACCACGTCAACAAATCTGCAATCTGACAGTTACACAGCAAATTCCACCGTAGAATTCTCAGTGTTAAACTATAGTCTCTCTCCTCTCAGTAGACAAGATGATTGACAGCTGAGTAAGCAAAAGTTGGATGTGACCACTGTGTCGTTTGTGATCGGTGTGTTTTAGCGCAGACAGGAAATGACAAGTGAGCTAACAGGAAGTGACAGGTGACATAGAGGAGATGGGGGACATGTGGTGGACATCTTGGTTTGTCTCTAGTCTCTATAGGGTCACACTGTACAGGTTTACTGCACGATTCAAACTCAACTCATTTTATGAATACTGTCAGGTGAGGAGTGATTGACAGGTGAGGAGTGATTGACAGGTGCTCTTAGTTCATTTTCACTCCTTCTCATTCACACAGGTTTATTAGTGTTATTCAGATTAACACAAACAAAATACCACCTGTTCTAAGGCATCTGTTAATCACTGAATTTATCATTAAGTAATCAAGCTGCTAATCATTCACCACATTCATACATGAGTACATGTCAATATTCAGTGATCGCAGTGGAGATCGATCCAGCAACTGTCTATCTACTGTTACCTGAATTTATATAGTTTCAGGAGCAGTTTCTATTAGATGACTTGAAGATATAATTTCAGTATTTAAAGGGTTGTGTTTTGTTTCCTTCACACATGTTCAACACATAAATCCTGCATATTTTAGGCTGAGTTCTTCTTTCAAACAGAAAACATTATGATGTCATGTGGTAATACAGGAAGTGCTCCATTGTATTTTTAAACTCCATTTTAAACACCTTCACTAGAATCACCTGGTTGATTTCAGCCTTGGAATTGCCCATCTCTAAAGGTAAAAAGTAGCTGTTAACCTGAAACTACCACTACATGACATCACAAAGTGGAACAGAGCATTTTGAGCTTTGGAGATTTAGACAGACTATTGATAAAGGTTAGCTCACACAAGTGTGAATGAAATCTATTCTTTTTTGTAATATTTTGTATTATATTCCAGGGGCGTGGTTATCCCAACCACATCGAAAGGTGTCCAGGTCTTCCTGTAGGCGTGGCAGAAACACGTAGTGGCAACAGAAGAGATGTACAAGACTCCCAATGCTGAGAAAACCGCCCTCTTCAAGGTAGTGGAGAACATCGTAATAGATGCTTGTTACAGCCACCCATAGGTCTCTCCACAGCCTTTCTATGCTGAAAAATAAACCATACACTTAAAATATGGTCAATTTAAAATGTATATAAATTGTTTAAGTAGAATTATACATACATAATTACATATAACTTATTTTGTGTACTTCATATTGCAATAATAAGAAATGCCATTATTTTTTTGCTACTTGAACAATAAATTGCCCCGATATTAATCAGTGATAAATGACAAATAATGATATAGTTAAATTAGAATACTTTACTGGAATACATTTGCAAAGAAACTTGCAGATGACTATTTTTCTGAACCATTAAAGCCTGAACAGATAATAAATTCTAATTAAGATCTAGGTTTACACCTACTCTTCTATTTTTCCAATTTACCAATGAAATTATGTTTAGAGCAGCACAACAACTGCATATGATTCTCAAACAAGTTGCAATTCTGGACTAATAAGCTTACCTTACGGGAAAACCCATCAATCCCTCCAAATATGACAATATTATACCTATAATATAAAATAAAAAATGTTAAAAAACAAATGCAGCAGTATACTAATAATGTTGTAATGTAAAAAGAATACCGGATCAACTTATGGTTCGTATCAATATGCATCAGGAAGTGGGGTCCTGGAACAGAGTAGGTACGGCGATTGATGCAGCCCAGGTTAAGTGTTCGAGATATGACTCCATTGGTGTCAACACGGTGCATGGAGGCTCTCACACGCTCGTACTGCACCCTCAGTCCTCTGGCTTGCAGAAGAGCCTTCACCATTCTATATCCAGAATGAGGCTGCCTGGATATTACCTCTCTCACACATTGGTCCAGTTCTTCGTCTGTCAAGGTGCAGTACTGTGATCTCACTGAGAAACCAAAGTCGCCCATACGCCTGTATAGTGTGCTCCTGGAGATTCCCATGAGTTTGGCTATAGATGGCACAGACAAGTTCAGTTCAAGTAGATGTAGGAGGTGGTCTGAGGACACCACCATTCTCTGTCGCCCAGCTGGTCCTTGTTCAAACTGTACTACTCGAGCATGTGCTCTGTTTCTTTCCTTTTCATGATTCACCAGAGTGTGCAATTCCATTAATGCATTTAATATTTCTGCAGATATGGGTACCTGACTAGACAGAGCATGCAAGAAAACAAACTCCTGGGTGCAAGTGAACTCCAAAAAGTCCAAATCCAAAGGAATACGTTCCAGAATAAGCTCCAGGCGAGACTGAAGTCGTCTCAAAACTTGGTTCAGGAGATCCTGGTAGACATAAAACAACCACTTATTTAAACATTTGTAGCTTTTTACATTGGGCATAATGAAGGTAAATATGTAATCATGTGTTTCAGACAAACAATTCCTTCCAGATTTGAAGGACTTTGTGAGGACCTTTCTCCATTGAAAAGATATAATATTTTAATTTAAATAGCTTTATTTCTATAACCATGAAGGATGGTTGCCATATCTTGAAACCCATGAATAATTAAGTACACTGTAAACTGTTGATGCATAAACGAAACAAGAAATTCTCTGTCTTTGCTGCTGAAATCGAACGCTGCCTCACAACAAATGAATGGTGAAGCAAATCCCTGTTATCTTGACTTGAGGCTTGAATTGCTGCACTTGACTGTCTTTCAGACGAAGTCAGCAAATGTAATAAACGCCTTGCTGACTGCACTATTTCAGCCTGACTATCCTGTAAAATTACCAAATATATTTATTAGCCTACTATAAGTGACATAGAACACTGTATTTTCTTTCTATTTCACTACATAAAATGCTATCAAATCGTTGAAGAAGGGCGCTGCCATGTTTGTTGACAGTATTTCATATTAGCCGTAGCGGCTATCGCCCCCTAGTGGTTGTTTTCCTTACAACAGGTTGACTTGCGCGGGCCATGTGGTCTATGGTGGGCGCGCATGACAGTGCATTAACTAGCGCTATTAATGTTGTTTCTATCAAATCGCCAATTATGCGAGTACAAGCATTTACATTAATGTTGTCAAGCAATTGTTATTTGTAAGATTTTATAAGTATTAGCTTCGAAAAAGGTTAGAAAATATGAACATAATTACCGAAGAGCGGCCACCGGCTGCCATTTCCGTCCGTGGACTTGTGGTTGTTCCCGTGACTACTATACCGTTGCGTGATTCGACTCTGCAAGAGCGATTGCAAATGCCTCAGTATCCCGGATGTTGGCTGGGTCATTTTTCTTCATCGTATTTTACAATGCGAATTTAGACAGTCGTATTTGAGGGTTTGAAAAAAAATACATCCAATATTTTATAGATGATTTTTAATTTTTAAAAAATTGAAATTTTAAACACACTGAAAACTATACACTGACATTTCAGTGCTTCAAATTCAGAAGAAAAAAAAATTCAGATGCTCTTTTTCAGAGTAAAATAATTCACAAAGACAAATTCAGAGCCGTTTAAAATTCAAATTCTGATGGAACAACTTATCTTCCATAATGGCTGGGTTGTCTGGATCTGTCGAAACTGTTGTGAGCGGACGGGCATTTACTATTGCAGTCACTTCAGCCATTAATGTCACTATAATATTGTTTTTGGCGCGTAGAGCGTGACGCACTGGCCCCGCCCACTGCTCCGAATTTATAAATAAAAGGCAACGCCCAAATCCGCGACAGAGAGCTGACTTTATCAGAGACTCTTAACCGTCGGTGTAGAGTTATCAAAATGGTGAGTGCCGATGACGTATTTACAAAACAAATGTGAACATGGTGC